CTTCATCTTCATCTGCTCCCTCTCTGCAGATTGTTTCTCCTTAGCTGCTAGCATACAAATATATTCAGGCGTTTCCCTCATTAATCCTTCTTTATCTGTGTCCCCCACTGGCAAGCTCTTTCTTCATTTCTGTTCAAGCTCTTAGCATGATCACATTTTGTATAATTTTAAAACATTAATAAAGTCTCAGTTTGTGTCCAAATATGAAATAAATGCAAATATTAAAAAATGTCCAGTAAAGCACAATTTCAAAGCTGGTGGGCTGAGGGAATGGTGACATTACCCAATGGTGGTGACAGTACAGCTGATAAATCAAACAGAAATAGCTAACATTGAGCACTTAAAATGGGCCATTCTTCCACACCTCGTGACAAGCTGTCATGGGCATTTAATGTTGTCCCCATGTTACAGATGAAGAAACTGAGACCCTTGAAAGTTCAGTAATTTGATCAAGTTCACACAGCTTGGAAGTGATGGACAAGGAAGTGATGGACAAGTAGTCTTAACCCATGTTCTTCCCCACCATCCCTCAACACCAGGTGTCTATTGCCCTTTGTCACTATTATAAGAACTATGCTGGCATTAACTTGTCTCAGAATCTTGGAGAGTAATTTCTGTGACTGGATTAGTTTCCTGTTTCTGCTGTAACAAATGATCACAAACCTTAGTGGTTTATTCTTACAGTCTGGAGGTCAGATGTTTAAAATCATTTTCTTTTAGAGAATGGTTTATGTGCGAGCTGAGCCTCCAGCTTGGTTTTTTTGTTTTTGTGGGGTTTTTTTCGGGAGGGAGGGGCAATTTATTTATTTATTTATTTATCTTTTAAATGGAGGTACTGGGGATTGAACCCAGGACTTCATGCATGCTAGGCATACACTCTACCACTGAACTACACCCTCCCCCCATAAAATCATTTTCATTGGGATAAAGTCAAGTTGTCAGCAGCGCTGGTTCTTTCTAAAGGCTCTGAAGGGAGAATCTGTTTCCTTGTCTTTTTCACCTTCTAGAGTCTACCTGTATTCTTTGGCGTCCTCTGTTTTCGAAGTATCACTCCAATCTTCGCTTCTGTCATCACATCATCTTCTCTAACTTCTCCTGCATCTCAAAGATTGCTCTGATTGTGTTGGGCCCACCTGGATAATTCAGGATAAACTCCCCATTTCAAGATTCTTAACTGAACCACATCTGCTAAAGCCCTTTTGCTGTGTGAGTTTATCATTCACAAGTTTTGATGATTAGAATGTGGAGCTACTGGGGGAGTGGGGAAGCTTTGTTTAGCCTACCACAGTCACTGGTTGGTTTTTTTTTTAATAATTCATTGATTAATTTATAGTGTAATTCTCCCTTTCTATCCTAAAAATGACATTAAAACATTTGTTCAGTGATGTTACCAGAATGAGAACTGGAGGGGAAAAACACATCCAAATCAATGCTACTGGAATGCAAGTTAGACGTAAGATATGGGGAAGACCGTTAATTTAAAAAAGATAAATCTTTTAAGAAAAAAAAAATCACCATGCAACGGAAAAAAAGTTGGAGACAAGATATGCGTTGTGGGGGAAGGATCAGTGCAGCTGTACCATGTCCTTGAGTGGTGGATTATTCAAGGTCATTGTATAAAATGAAACCCTCCTCCCTTCTTTAAAATGTATCTTTCGTTCTTTACACCCTGCTTCCTCTTTAACCCACTGCAGTCAGCCCCCACCACTTTACTGCAATTGCTTTTGCTGAGATCAATAGCCTCCTGACAGATCCAACAGACATTTTTGTCTCTTTTTTTCTCTCTGTGGCATCTAATGTTTCTGACCACACCTCTTCCTTGAAATTTTTTCCTGCCTTAGCTTTGGTGTCACCTTTCTGTTTTTCTGCCAACATTTGTGGCTCAGTTTCTTCGTGGCTTTTTCCCTCCACCTTCACTTTAGATGTAGATGTTCCCAAAGGATGTTGGAAGTGCTCTCCTCACTCTGCGCTCTCCTTCACTGATCTTATCTGTATCCAGGCATTCAAATACCGCTGACTGCTGATTTCCGTGTATCAGGACTCAGCTTCTCTCCTGATCCTCGCAGCTAATAGCCATCTAGACAGCTTTGCTTTGATAGCCCTTGTGCAGGCCCAGGACGTTTTGGATCACTGTGGTGGTTTCATCCAATGTGTTTGAATACAGATACTTTAACTTGGCTAAATACTGATGAATTTTCATCAAGAAATTCTATTAAGCAACTCCATTAAGTCAGTTTAATTCTTGGATCAATTTCCTATGCCATGTAT